ATGTGATGAACACTGGAACAGAAGGTTCTCTCAATAATTCAAGTGCCAGCATCACTCAAGAAAAGTATGCTCAATTGATTGGTTTGTTACAACAAACAAATTTGTTGCCTTCCAACCCTACCCCAAATCCAAGTGCCAATCATATTTCCACTCATCCTGGTCATACACCAAATGAGAATTCAGGTAAACCTTTTGTTTCTACAGTTTCCTGCTCCACTTACATAAAACCTGATTTTTGGATTTTAGATTCTGGTGCCAATGATCATGTTTGCTCATCTCTTAAATTGTTTAGTTGTTACCACAAAATTCAGCATGTCAGTGTTTGTCTACCTAATGGATCTATTGTTCTAGCTAAACATGCAGGAACAATTCAATTTTCCCCTCACTTGCAGCTTAATAATGTGTTATACACACCTGATTTTTCCTTAAACCTTGTGTCTGTTTCCAAACTTTGTCACTCCACTAATTGCAATTTCATTTTTTCTGCTAATGATTGCTTTATTCAGGATGTGAAAACGAAGAAGATGATTGGTTCGACTAATCAAATGGAAGGGTTGTACAGACTCAGGACAGATATTAATTCCATTTCTGCAGAAACTAGTATTTCAAGTATTTCCTCATCCAAACCACATGTAGAAACTTCAATTCCCAATAATTGTAAAATGATCCCTAAACAAGCTTTGTGGCATTTTAGATTGGGCCATTTATCACATGATAGACCTTCCAAAATGGTTCAAATGTATCCTTTCAAAGACAATAAAGATGTCTGTGATGTGTGTCACTATGCTAGACATAAGAAACTACCTTACACTTTGAGTCATTCTAAAGCTTCTCAAAATTTTGAATTGTTGCATTTTGATATATGGGGCCCTATCTCCACAAATTCTATCCACCATCACAAATATTTTTTGACAGTAGTTGATGATCACAGTCGATTTACTTGGATCATACTACTTAAAAACAAATCTGAAGTTTCTACACATGTTCAACAATTTGTTGCTCTCATAGAAAATCAGTTCCATACATGTCCTAAGTTCATCAGATCTGACAATGGACCTGAATTTCTCTTAACTCAATTCTATGCCTCAAAGGGTATTATCCATCAAAGATCCTATGTTAAGTCCCCTCAACAAAATGCAAGGGTTGAAAGGAAGCATCAACACTTGCTTAATGTAGGTAGAGCCTTACTGTACCATTCAAATTTACCTAAATCCCACCGGTCTTATGCTATTAGCCATTGAGCCTTCATTATAAATAGAGTTAACACTCCTTTACTCAATAACCAATCCCCTTATCACATACTGCATAATAAACCACCAGACGTTAACCAACTTAAAGTCTTTGGATCTTTGTGCTATGCATCTACCTTGTCCAATCAAAGAACTAAATTAGATACAAGAGCTAGAAAATCATTGTTTCTTGGATATGCTGTTGGATATAAAGGCTCTATTTTACTTGATCTAAATTCATTCAACATTTTCATTTCAAGAAATGTCACTTACCATGAACAGATTTTACCTTACCAAAAACAATCTTTATCTACCACAACTCCTTGGGAATATTATAGTACCTCAGTTCCCAATATCACTTCAGTTCCCAATCCAAATCCCTATCATGACATACATCATTCTGCTCAATATGATCTTCCCATTAACCTACTCAACCTTCTAGCTACCACAACTTTATCCATACCCACCACAATTGACTCAAATCAACCTTCCATCTCCCTTGCCAATTCTAATCCATTCACCTCTGATACACAACATTCCACTCATGCCTCTACAAGAGTCAGAATCTTACCATCCTTTTTGAAAGATTATGTCTGTACAACCTTCACTGATCCACAATGCCAATCATCTTCAGGTAATCCTTACTCTCTTTCCAATTTCATTTCATATCATAATTTGTCTCCTGCTCATTATCGTTTCACTCTTTCCCTTACTATTAATCATGAACCTAAAACATACTCTGAGGCTAGCAAATTTGAATGTTGGAATCAGGCCATGAAAGTTGAACTTGATGCACTTGAGCAAACTGGAACTTGAAGAACTGTGGATATTCCTATTGGTTTTTGTTGGGTTTACAAGATCAAGCATAAATCTGATGGAGCCATAGAAAGATTTAAAGCTCGTCTTGTTGCCAAAGGATACAATCAGATTGAAGGACTTGATTACTCAGGTACTTTCTCACCTGTTGCAAAGCTTATCACAGTTCAATTGGTTCTAGCCTTAGCTTCAATCCGTAACTGGCATCTTAACCAACTCGATGTAAATAACGCATTTCTTCATGGTGATCTGAATGAAGATGTTTACATGTTGATTCCACCAGGTGTCCAAACTTCCAAACCAAACCAGGTATGCAAACTCATTAAGTCACTTTATGGACTAAAGCAGGCAAGCAGACAATGGTTTGAAAATTTGACTTCAGTCCTCACTGCTCATGGCTACTCTCAAGCACCTTCTGATCACTCACTATTTGTTAAACAAACATCATCCACCTTTATAATTTTACTTGTTTATGTTGATGATGTTATTTTAGCAGGTAACTCTCTACGAGAGTTTCAAACTATGAAAAATATTCTTCATCAGCTCTTCAAGATCAAGGACTTGGGCATTCTCAAATACTTTTTGGGTTTAGAAGTAGCTCACTCAAAACGTGGTATCTCCATTTGCCAAAGAAAATACTGCCTTGATCTTCTCAAGGATTCAGGTTTTATTGGCTGCAAAACAGGAAACACGCCATCTAATCCATCATTTAAGCTTTGCCAAGATGATAGCCTTGCTTATCACGATATTCCATCTTATAGACGACTCATTGGCAGACTAATCTACCTCAACACTACACGCCCAGATATCACGTTTATCACACAACAACTCAGTCAATATCTTTCCAAACCTTCTACTCAACATTATAATGTTTCTTGCAGAGTTTTGCGATACCTCAAACAATGTCCAGGCCAAGGCTTATTTTTTCCACGTAGTTCATCACTACAAGTAACAATTTTTTTAGATGCTGACTAGGATGGTTGTATAGACACACGTAAATCAGTTTCAGGATCATGTTTCTATTTGGGCAGCTCACTTATTTCCTGGAGAACAAAGAAACAAACCACTGTCTCTCGTTCCTCTTCAGATGCAGAGTATCGTGCTTTAGCTGCGGCCACGTGTGAACTCCAATGGTTTTTGTACTTGCTTCGTGACATGAACATTTCATGCTCTCAAGTCCCAGTTCTCTTTTGTGACAGTCAAAGCGCACTCCACATAGCTGCTAACCCTGTTTTCCATGAACGTACGAAACATCTTGACATTGACTGTCACATTGTACGCGAGAAATTTTCAGCAGGCATGATGAAACTCCTTCCCGTGTCCTCCAACAACCAACTTGTTGATTTCTTCACTAAACCTCTCATACACAAACCATTTCACTTCCTCAAAGCCAAGTTGAACTTGATCAACATCTACCAAAGTTCAACTTGTGGGGGGCTAATAAATGACACAAATAGAAATAGTTAGTTACATTTTCTATTAATTCAATTATGTTGTTAGTTATCTTTCTTCCTACTATATAATTGGTGTAACATTCATTCAATGAATAAGAGAGTCTTACTTTGCATTTTATCTTCTTCCTCTTCTCTTTAAGCTCTCTTACCATTCTTTAATGGCTTCCATGTGTGAAGCATAATAATATCACTTATTAGATAAGAAAATATCACTCAAACTTAACCTACAATATTTTCAAATTTATCGCATAAAACCATAAAACCATTGAAGTTGAGCCTTAAAAAGATATTTTTGGTGTTGTCAGGAAAGTGGTAGTTGTTTGCTAGAAGTTGGTATACGACTACCAGGGCTACTTTTTTTTCCAGAAAATATGAATGTTGGGAAATGGTGGACGACTACTAGAATGTGGTAGTCAACTACCTGCTGAACCAGTGTCTCTTTTCTTAATCAGAATCACTTTTTGAATGACAATACTCCATGGAACTTTTTCAAACTCATGCACCCACTCATAGAGGTTTTTAAGTGTGTATAAATGATTGTTTAACATAGAAAACAAAGAAAAACATTCACATAATCATTTACACAATTCAAACACCGTTTTAAAGAAACATTCTTTTTCAAAATAGTTTGAAACTTGTAAACTTTCATCAATATGAAAAGTTTCACAATTATAACAAATCTAAGCCATTATGTTATATAGATTTAAATTGTGATATTGATAAAAATCGTCAATCAAAGTTTGAGTATAATCTTTGAATAGCCACCATAAGTTCTTCATTTCTCTACAAAATCAAGTGTGACTTGTTTCTCCATAGTGTTTGATGGAAATCATCATAGCATTTGGTGATTTTGTAAAAGATTTATTGAATTGGAGTGACTCAAAGTCCATCATAGAATTTGGTGTTTGTGTATGTATTAGAAGATTGTAAAAGGGTCTTCGTGAAGACTTGTATAAAAATCTAAATATAGTGTAAAATCCTTTAGGAAGTAGAGAGACTAGATTTACCCTTAATTAATAAGAGAAACTAATATAATTTTTTTGTATTGTTTATTTTTATGCACTTTAATTTTCTACACTTTACATTCATACTAAAATTACAATCAATCACTTGTTTTCAAATAGTGTCAGACTCATAAAAGAAGTTTGGAGAGGAAAACCAAAACCCAAGCGTTGGATCTAATTACCTTACACAAAAGATAATTGTAAAAAATCTCTGTGTAGAATGCATTCTTGGAAAATAAAGTTTGAGAGAGAATAGAAAAAAAAACAATGATTTAGATTTTAATTAAAATACAATTCCATCAATAACAAACTACAAATTTGTTGTAACTCACTTCTTTGAATGGAGTTATCCATCAAACAACTTATAATATTACATGGCTAGTATAATCCATCTATAAAATATCTTAATTCCTATCTACCTCTTAAACACACTAATATTACATAAACCAATCTACAATCCTAAATAAAGTAACCATTATGAAAGGTTAATAATATCATTAACCTTTTCCACTAATTTTCTCACTTATAATACCTTCAATTGATCCAACAAATCCAACCACTGTGACAAGAAAGCAAGCAAAGCTAAATATCCTTAGAACAATCCATTTTCTAGTCCAAGCTCCAATTTTCTTCTGCACAAAGTACATTTCAACTGGGAAATATATAGCCAAGGGCCAAAAGTTTATTGCTCCTAAAACTCCAAGAACTTGGTTGAAGTAAGGAAACAAAATTGCAAGACCAGTGGTTGAAATCACATAGGTTGTTCTAAAACAAAACCTGAAAAGATTTATCTCAAAAGCCGGTAATAGAGGAAGTTTCACTCTGTGGAAATCATTCACAAAGCCACTGTTGGGGTATTTCTTTGCACACCATCTATCAGCAGTGCTATATATTGGTTGACTGTATATCTGATATCCTCCAACCAAATGAATGATAATGCAAACATTCGCAATGTCGATAAGCCAGAAAGGCTCGTAAAATCCAAACCCTGTCAATAAGTTTCCTGGTGTGGCACTTCCAAAAGCTGCATATCCAAAGCATCCACAGCATAGGTAGAAGAATGTTGTAATGAAGATTGCAACCATGGAAGCCTTTTTCATGGTTTGATTCTCTGGAGGAGGAGATTCTAGAGTGTCCTGTATCTCAAGAAGGAGAATTGCGTATGGATATGAAAAGCTAATGTCACCAAGTGCCTGGAAGATTAACCAGATTTTCTCGGAACCATTAGCAGTTTGTACTCCTGTCACACTTCCCATAATTGTTCCATTTTCTGCAAGTTTAACCAAAGCCTTATCAATATCAATATCAAGCATAAAATGGAATCTGGTATATTACAATGGAAGTCGAGCCTTACGAATGACGGTTGCTATGCCGAGTCCTAGTCCGATGAATGAATATGTAAAAGACATAATTGCAGCCACAATTGAAACCCATGCCATGTTATGGAGATCTGGTATGAATGACATTACAATCTGAACAAGTCCAAACATCATCATATACAAATTTCCACCGTAACTACAAGGAGCTTTGTGTCCTTCCTTATGATAACAATTTGATCTCATAATAGCCCTGTGTTCGCAAAAACAATAAAATAAATTATCCTCTCTAATATCATATTAATAACCTCTTCGAAATCACCTATCTCTTATCTTCTCGTATATCCGTACTTTGAGAAAACTTATGAAAACAACCTATAACATAACATATCCGAGAGAAGTACCTCAAACTAGTTGCTGTGGTAATTACATAAGCAGTACCAGTCCCATACAAGGTCAAAAACTGAAGAAACCCCGCCACATAAGTTCTTTTATTACCTGAAAACCAAATTCATGTTATAACAGTTATGGTAAATTTCATGAAAATTCAAATATCTATGTTTTACTACATCGCCAAGAGTTTATAATGCGCTATTTATCTTCTTACCAAGATTGACTCTAACAGCATCCATGTAAGAGTAGTTTCTTTTTCCGGTCACAGGATCGGGATTTCTGTAACAATCAGATAACAAAAATGAAGAAACATAAGTAACAATTGCGCAACAAAGCAGAGCAAGTGGCCCTCCAATCCATCCTAACTGAGCAGTACTCCATGCCAATGACAAAACACCAGAACCAATAACCGCCGTTATGATATGAGCCACAGCACTCTTTAAATTTCCTGCAGAATCCAAAAAAACATCACTATACAATTTGTTATATCTTATATATGAATCTTATGATGCTATAGAAAAGTGCTTTTACCTGTTCTTTTGGCATGTCCATCATCATCATAAGCTCCAGAAGCAGTTTTTGTTATTTGAAGAGAGTTTTTCCCATCCATTTTTATCCAAGAATCAATTCAGTTCAAGCTTATGAAGTGTTCTGCATATAATAAAAAAATTGATATATATATATATATATATATATATATATATATATATATATATATATATATATATATATATATATATATATATATATATATATATATATATATATATATATATATATATATATATATATATATATATATATATATATATATATATAAAACTTGGGGAACTGCATAAGTTTGGTATGTATGGGACAAATTTGACATAAGTCTATGCATATGGCTATGTGATTAGACAAATAAGCTAAATTTAACAGCATAAATAAAAGAGCAGCACATGGTAAGGATGTTTGATAATTCATGTTATAATCTGAATTATGCTAAATTATCATGTGATTGTTTGGCTTGTGTATTATCAATAATTAATAATAGGTTAGGTGAAGAAATTAAATGATGAAAATTTGGACATTTAATAATTTTTGTAAGACATTTTTTTTCTTGATTAAATGTATAAAATAAGTTACCTGCTTTTCTTTGCACTTGAACCAATGCAAATGTTTTATTTAATTTTCATATGAATGAAATTATAGCATATAGCATATAGAAATTATATAGGCTTGAGGAAAAACAAGATCCTAAGGATGACGTAATTTATATGAATCTGTATGAGGTGCATGATGAGGCAATTATTATATTTTTATAAGGCTTATCTATCTAGCATATAGATTTAGAACCTTCTTTAAAAAAGTGTAAAATAGATTATTGTACAGTTTAAAATTTAGCACACTTAAATTGTATTTGAATAAAACTTCGTAATATATTTGTCGCTGTAAAATTATAAAATAATTTTTTTTTTCACAATCAACCTATAATTAATCTAAATTTTGTAATATATTTATTATTGTTAAATTTTGATAAAATAAGAGTTTAATTGATATGCACTTTTAATGTAAAATAATTTTATACTATTATCCAATAAAAATTTATTAATCTGTCATATTAAATCATTAATTTAAAATTTACAGTATGATGTGGCAGGATATATAAGGGTGATTGTTTGACAGTGTAAAATAATTTTACATTGTAAATGCATACCAATTAAATTCATAAAATAATGCTCTTTTTTTATCACAGTCAACCTGTAATTAATCTAAATTATATATATATATATATATATATATATATATATATATATATATATATATATATATATATATATATATATATATATATATATATATATATATATATATATATATATATATATATATATATATATATATATATATATATATATATATATATATATATATCGTTGTTAAATCGTGACTGTTGTGATCACAAACGATACATTTCAACAAATAGAGATTAAGAAACGGAGTTCTTGAGTGAACAATGAAAACAATTAGAATAAAGAGAGAAAGAAGAGAGGATAAAGAAGAAAGAAGAAGAAGAATTATGGCAAATTATTTACTATTCACTTTATCATTTGGGGTTTACAAATGAATAACAATTGATCTCACTCAACAATTTGAGTGATCTAGCATATTTATAGACTAACTAGTTAACTTATAATACAAGCTAACTAAACAATTGGATCATTAACACAAGACACAATTCGACATAATACAATAATATGTATTTCGACATTACATACTAGAACTAGTTTCGACTACAGTATGTAACCCTTCGACATCAGCATGTGACCCAGCTTTGGCTTCATGCTTGTCTCTTGTCGAAACACAAGAAAGTTATTCCTCGACAGAGCTAGAGTTCGACCCAAAATCTCATAATCTCCACTTTGGATCTAACTCTACAACAACAGGGAATAAACTAGATTTCATCATGAAGCTTTATCAACTATATACAGTGGAAAAAATTGCAACTTGACAACGTCTTGGTGATCATATCAGCTGAATTGTCATTAATGGAAACCTTCAGCACCTGGACTTCACCATGCTCGATTATCTCTCTGACAAAGTGCAACCTCACCTCAATGTGCTTGGTTCGCTCATGATAGGCTGAGTTCTACGACATGTGTATTGCACTTTGACTATCACATTTAACAATGATATTTCGACCTTGAAGTTTCAGTTCCTTTGCAAAACCTTCAAGTCACAATGCTTTTTCACAGCTTTAGTGAGAGCAATATATTTTGCTTCAGTGGTTGATAAGGCAACAACCTTCTGAAGCGTTGCTTTCCAACTGATTGTTATGCCGAACATAGTGAACACATATCCAGAAATAGACTTTTTTAAATCCATATAACATGCATAATCAGAGTCGACAAACCCTTCAATTTTGACTTTGCTATCATCACCGCAGACTCCACCATAAATAAAGACTCTTTTCAGAGACCCATTTATATACCTGAGAATCCACTTTACAGCTTGCTAGTGCACCTTTCCAGAATTGGTCATATACCTGCTTACAAGGCTTACACCATACGTTATGTTTGGCCTCGTACAGACCATAAAATACATCAAAGAACCTACTACACTAGCATATGAAATGCTACTCACATAGATTCTTTCAGCGCCAGTACTCGGACTTTGAGTAGTACTAAGCTTAAACTGAGGATTTGTTGGAGTCAAAACATGCTTTGAATTCGACATAAGAAACTTGTCGAGAAACATCGGTAGGTATGTCTCTTGAGATAAACACAACTTCGTCTGCTTTCTATCTCTCAGGATGTAAATCCCATGAATCCTGGTGGTAACTCTTATATCCTTCATTTCGAACTCCTTCCTGAGTTCAGCATTCACCTCCATTACATCCTCGACATTGTTTCTACCTATGAGGATATCATCCACATATAACAATAAAATAACAAGTGAATTTTTAGGTCGAAATCTAAAGTAAACACAGTGGTTGAACTTTGTCACCATGGCTAACAACATTCGAATGGATCTATGTTTTACAACAGACGAGAACACATCATTGAAGTCGACACCTTCTTTTTGAGTGAACCCCTTAACAATCAATCTTGCCTTAAAGCGCTTCGACATCACTCATTCGATTCTTTCCTTGACCTTGAAAATCCACTTACAACTGACTAATCTTGCTCCTGAAGGTTTGTCAATGAGCTCCCAAAGATATTATCATGAAGAGATTTCATCTCGTCATCCATGGATTTTCACCATTCAGTCTTGTTTCGACTCCTCATAACTTCTTTGTAATATGTAGGTTCTTCCTCAAGTACCTCACTTGCAGAGATTAAGGCAAAAGCTATAAGATTTATATAACCAAGTCTCTGAGGTGGCTTGATGACTCTTCTCGGCCTATCTCTTGCCAGTACGTAGTCATCGACTGTCTTCTCAGTCTCTTCAACATCTTGCTCTTCTTCTTCGACTTCATCTAGGTTATGCACTTTAGCATCACTATACTCCACCTCAACAGGAATCTTTACCTGTTCCAGCTCTTCTTTAGAAACTTCTACACTTCGACCAACATCACTAGTTTTCTTGAACGCCATCTCGACTTCATTGAAAACTACATCACGACTTGCGATACATCTTTTGTGACCTGGTTCTAGGCACCGCAACCTATAACCTTTGGCTCCCTCAGGATATCCAAAGAACATGCATCTCAGAGCTCTAGGTTCGACCTTATCTTGCCTAATATGAGCATAGGCTAAACAACCAAATACTCCCAGTTTGTCGAGATTAGGTGGTTGACTCAACCAAACTTCTTCAGGTGTCTTCATTCCTAAAGTAGTCGAGGGACATCTATTTATTAGATAAGCTGTTATTGAAATAGCCTCCACCCAAAACACCTTCTTCAATCCAACACAAACCAAAATGCATCTAACCTTTCAAGGATTGCTCGATTGAAACTATCAGCTAATCCATTTTGCTAAGGAGTACCTGCTAAAATCTTATGCCTTGTAATCCCAGACTCGACACAGTAATTTTTGAAAGCTTCATTGCAGAAATCAAGGCCATTGTCAGTTCTCAACCTTTTAACCTTTATGCCAGTTTGAGTTTCAACCAGAACCTTCCAACTTTTGAAATTCTCAAAAGTTTCATCCTTAGTCTTCTGAATGAATACCTATAATTTTATGAAATAGTCATCAACTATGGATAGAAAATACCTTGCACCTAAATGTGAAGGATTCCTTGAAGGCCCCCAAAGATCAACATCAATGTAATCAAGGGATCCATATGTTCTTTGTTTACCTTTGTTAAACTTCATCCTACAGGATTTTCCAGATACACAAGGTTCACAAAACTCCAACTTCTCGACTTTGTCACCACCTAGCAGGGTTTGTTTCCCCAATTCGACCAGGTCACTTTCGCTGACGTGACCCAATCTCAAGTACCATAGTTCTGTCTTCGACACAGGTTTCATGGATGCAACATTTTTCAAACCACTTACAACCTCAACCTCAAAGGTATACAAATCTTGTTTCTTCACGCCTCTCAAGACTTCCTTCGACCCCTTCATGATTTTCATGATACCTTGCTCTCATTTGAAGATATATCCTTTCTTGTCGAATTCACAAAGAGAAATTAAATTCTTCTTAAGGTCAGGTACATACCTAACCCTAGTCAATAGCCTTATTGACTCATCATGGAGCTTGAATTTTATAGATTCAATACCTGCAATCTTGCAAGCTTTACTGTTTTCTAGTAGCACTGATCCACCATCTTGATCACATAATTCTTCAAACACATCCTTGTTCGGAGTCATATGCCAAGTACATCCAGAATCCATAATCCACTCTTTGCAAGAGTTGCTGCTCGACACCACAAGGACATCAGATGATTCATAATCATCTTGCACAATAGCTGCATTACCATTATCCTTACCTCCATGACTATTCAGGCGCTCAGGACACATCTTTCTTGTGTGACCCTCCTTCTTACAATGATAATCCTTAATCCCAAAAATATCACCACCATTAGACTTCTGCTGAGTTTTACCTTTCTTCTTCTTAAACCTTCCATCCCTCTTCGAGGATTTCCCCTTCACGGACAACCCTTCGTCAATTGATGATGATGGTTTCT